TTCTACCACCAGACGGTACCGATTAGAGGCTCACCAGTCCAGACACACAGGTGTTGGCCGTATCCCCTGCAGCTCCTGCCCTCAGACATTTGGTACCAACTCGAAACTACGCCTGCACCGGTTAAGGGTTCATGACAAAACACCCACCCACTTCTGTCCACTCTGTGACTATAGTGGCTATCTTCGCCATGACATAACTCGCCATGTCAACAGCTGCCACCAGGGCACCCCAGCCTTTGCCTGCTCCCAGTGTGAGGCCCAATTCAGCTCAGAGACAGCACTTAAGCAGCATGCTCTGCGCCGACACCCTGAGCCCCTAAACCCTGCCCCTGGCTCTCCTGCAGAGGCCACTGAGGGGCCCCTAAACTGCTCCCGCTGTGGCCTGCTGTGCCCCAACCTCGCAAGCCTGCGGGGACATACCCGTAAGCAGCACCCAAGGCTGGAATGTGGGGCCTGCCAGGAGGCCTTCCCTAGCCGGCCAGCCCTGGAAGAGCACCGGAGGCAGCAGCATTTCAGCCACCGCTGCCAACTCTGTGACTTTGCTGCCCGGGAGCGAGCAGGTCTGGTGAAGCACTACCTAGAACAGCATGAAGAGACTTCAGCTGCACCAGCAGCCTCGAACGGGGATGCTGGCCAGCCCCCTCTGCGCTGCCCCTTTTGTGACTTTGCATGTCGCCATCAGCTCGTGCTAGATCACCATGTGAAAGGGCATGGGGGCACTCGGCTCTACAAGTGTACTGACTGTGCTTATAGCACCAAGAACCGGCAGAAGATCACATGGCACAGCCGCATCCACACTGGGGAAAAGCCTTACCGCTGTCACCTCTGCCCGTATGCCTGTGCTGACCCCTCTCGCCTCAAGGTAAGATCTGGGCTATGGGACAGGGAATGGAAGGAATGCAGGCTCTAGTTTCTTTAATCCTGACCCTTCCAAATATTAGATCTGTGATTGGACAAGTTCCTTATCCTCTTTAAGGCTCAGACTCCCCATCTATAAAAAAGAGATAATATTTACCAACTTCATGGGATCATATAATAATACAGTTCTTGGGGCTGGGATTGTGGATCAAAGGGAGAGCACTCAACTAGCATGCAGGAGGCACTGGGTTTGATCCTCAGCACCACATAAAAATAAAAAAATAAAATAAAGGTATTGTATTTAACTACTTCTAAAAATAAATATTTAAAAATATATAAATAAAGATATGTGTCCACCTATAACTAAAAAATAAATATTAAAAAAAATATAATCTTTAATACATGCTTAAGAAGAACAAGGACTTGCCTTGTGATAAAGACATAATAATTTATATGTGCATGGTAGTGCACACCTGTAATTCCACCAACCTGGGAGTCTGAAGCCGGAGGATCACAAGTTCAAGATCAGCCTCTGGAATTTAGCAAGACTTTATCTCAATAAAAAGGACTGGACATGTAGCTCAGTGGTAAACTGCCCAGGATCCCCCCACAAAAAAAAAGTGGGGGAGGATAATCTGGATAATAACGCTAACATTTATGAGCAGTTACTATAATGCCTAGTACCATGATTTTAATCTTTTCAAAAATAAAGAGATATAGATACTTATTCTATTCCCCATCTTACAGATTAGTAGACTGAGAATTATGGGTTAGCTCACCCAGTGACTGTCAGTGTCAGAACTGAGAGAGTCAGGGAAAGCCTAGAGAGGGACTGAATAGGTAAGGTTGATAACAAAGTGACCATTATGAGGGACCCAGTTGGTAAGGGAAGTAGAGATGAGATGAGATCAAGGAGCAGGGTTATCCACCAATGGTTTCTCTGCCTACTTGTCCCCCCTTCTATATCCAGTGAGTGCCAAGGGGAGCACATGTTCTGCTTTTTGCTCTTCCCTCTTCTAGTACCATATGCGGATACACAAGGAGGAACGGAAGTACCTGTGTCCTGAATGTGGCTACAAGTGCAAGTGGGTCAACCAGCTCAAGTATCACATGACCAAGCACACAGGTGAGTCTGTGATTTGGGTTAAAGGGTTCTCCCATTCACTATCAAACTTGACTTCACCGAGGTGGTGTATGTCCTTGCCCAGATTCAGGGCCATCATTGATTTTTATACTGAGGGTTTAGGTAGGCTGGGAGTGTGTGTACCGGAATGGTACACACTGAATACCTGTCAGAAATAGGACAGAGTAAACCTGAGAGTCTTGGCCTCTGTACTTGGCAGATTTCTCAGGGATTGTGGTGTAAGGTCACACTCCCCCCCCCCCCATAGAGAACCCCAACTCAAACTTGAGTGATTGAGGACAGGTCTACCTGATTGTATACAGATATAATGGAACTATCACAAATAAGAAGGAAAAAGAGGAGGGCTCCTTTGTGCTGATGTGGTTCTCTGAAAAAGGTTAATGATTGCCTTTTATTATTGCATATGGTTCCCCCATAGGTGGAGGAATTGATCAGATGCATTTCAAGACCCTCTGCTTCTATAATGATGCTTCTTTCATTTTTACCTCTTCCCTCTTTAACATTTTTGTTGAACAAGGAACTGTGTTTAAGTGTGTTTTCAAATTCTATGACCAAAAGAGGGCTGGACTTTTCCATTTGATAACCTACCATATTTGAGTACTCATTACTATCAGATGGCTAGTTGGTTAGAGGTCCAGTTAGTTATCAGTATCATTGGGCTTCCATGTATTCAAAGAGTGTGTTGAAAGAATGTCAAGACTGGAACATTCCAAAGATAATGGTCATTAACTTGCCATTTCTGTCGTTTATATCCCAGTATGTATCCACAGTGACTCTTATGACCCATTGAGCCTTGTCTGTTCCCCCTTCGATGGTGATTTATTCCCTGCCTTTAGGACTGAAGCCATACCAGTGTTCTGAGTGTGAGTACTGCACCAACCGGGCTGACGCACTGCGTGTGCACCGGGAGACACGGCATCGAGAAGCACGGGCTTTCATGTGTGAGCAGTGTGGCAAGGCCTTCAAGACGCGCTTCTTGCTGCGCACCCACCTTCGCAAGCACAGTGAGGCCAAACCCTACGTGTGCAATGTGTGCCACCGTGCTTTCCGCTGGGCTGCTGGCCTGCGCCATCACGCCCTTACCCACACAGACCGCCACCCCTTCTTCTGCCGCCTCTGCAGCTACAAGGCCAAGCAGAAATTCCAGGTGGTCAAGCACGTGCGCAGGCACCACCCTGAGCAGGCTGACCCAAACCAGGGTGTGGGCAAAGACCCCACCACCCCCACAGTGCACCTACATGATGTAAAGCTGGAGGATCCCAGCCCTCCAGCTCCTGCTGCTCCTCCCACTGGACCTGAGGGCTGAGAGCCTGCTACCACTAAGACAGGAAGAAAATGTGGTAAGAGGTGTGCATACTGGGACCAGAGCTAGCCTGAGGAGCTCAGGGCCTAAGAAAGGACTGGCTTTGCGGTGTCAGTGCGACTGGAAACCACCCACCCCCTATCCCCACCCCCAGGACTCTGGACATAGTACTTTGAAATGAACAGCTATATGAGAGAGAGACACGGACCAAAACAGTGATTTCTTCTTGAAGTACGCAGTGTTTTTAACCTGTGAATTTCTAGTTTCTTAGAGACCCTGGCTATAAGATCTTGGTTTTATCCACTCAGACTTCTTTTCTCTTCTTACTGTATCAAATCCTATTTTCTTTCAGCACCTTCAAAACAGTTGTATCTAACTGCATGTGCTATTATGCCTGATGCTCTATAAAGCATGTCAAACAGAATGACTGCCAACTTATAGACTCATCCAAACTCCTGACTTGGCATTTCTAGGCTGTGATCTTGATCTACCCTGTCCTCTCTTAGACCTCTGCTCCTCCTTTATCTCTTCTGTATTCAGTCGGAAACAAGTTCTGAAACAGAACCAAGTCTGCCTTCTCTGTCCTTAAGCCTGTCCTGATGTTTTCACTTTCTCCCTATTTCCAAGCCCCTCTTTCTGCTTGTATAGAGAGAGGATTGTCACTCATTAAGCCTCCTCTTGGAAGCAGCTTTAATTCAACATAAATCCTTAGACTGGCCCACAACTGCACTTATGAGTGAAAGCACAAAGGCACTGTAAAAGGCAGGTGATTGGGAAGGTAAATCTCTCATTCAGAATTCTCACAGTGTAATTGCTTCACTATGTATTTGATCATCTGAACTGAGACACTCTGGGAAAATCAAAGAAGATGCCATTAATGTTTATGCTGGGACTCAACAGATTATAAACCAGGACTGTTTTAGGCAAACTTTCCAGGAGGGCCAGATTGCATAAACCTTTGTCTCCTTTTGCCCTGCCTCTCAGAAGCCTCTCTTTTGTGTCCTTCCTATTCAGCACATGCAGGAATGTCCCCGGAAAGCTTGGTTTTCTACCTTTTCTCTGACTCATCCGACTACCCAAATGTCCCCCCAACCCTTATGCCTCCCCTTGCCCAATAACCATACCAGAGCCAAATTGGAGAGAGAAGCTCTATTTACACCAGGGAGACTGGAGAGGTGCAACCCAGTGGGGACATGGCTGTGTGCTGTTCTCTGGAGAGTCAAGGTACAGTCCTAGGGTCAGGTCTCCTTCCTCAGCCTTTGCCTGAGGAGCCTTGATTTATCCTTCCCTTGGCTCAGGGCTTTGAGGAAGTTAAAGGTATAATACTTCTGTAAGTTTCTTTGCTCCAAGCTCCTCTCTGAGTTTCTAGTTGCAATTTGCTTTCGCACCAGAGTTGATGGGAGAGATTAGTGGTAGATCTGAGTATGGGACTGAGCCTACAGCAAGAGGAAGGAGGGAACTCCAGCATAGACTACACAAAGAGAAAAGGCAGGAAAGATACCAATGACATGAAAACAAAGGGAGAGAAAAAGGTGAAAAGTCAGGTTCTAGATTTGCATGTTAGGAAGGGCAAGGTAATATGCCTGGAATGCACAATCCAAAGATTTTCACCTTTTCTAATTGCTTTCTGGAGCATCCAGGTTGTTCTTTTACCCTCTAAAGCCAGTATACCCATCCACACTATGAAATACTCACCTCAGAATTCAGACTCCCCAGGTTGAGGCTCTTCCATTTCCCGGATGCAGATGTACACAAAGATGGAAGCTGGGTGGATGCTGATGCCATCTTTAGAGAGCAGGTGTATGTGGCGGTAACCTGGAAAGGGGCAGGACAACAACATTAGGGAGGCAGCCAGAGCCAGGGTGTTGGCCAAGGAGCCAAGGACTGTCTCACCTTGTTTCATGCAAGTCCATGGCAAGGTATATTGACCAATAAAGTCATTTCGGGATTTCCAGTCATAATCCTGAACCACAAAACGCAGCATAGCAAGTTCAGGTACCAGCACCCGGAAGCACAGTGTCTGACCCCAGTAGGGATTAAAACCTGAGGTGGCGGGTAAGAAGGAATAAAACATGTTTTACTTTTTTTTTCCTTAGTAGTACTGGGGATTGAACCCAGGGGCATTCTACCACTGAGCTACATCCCTAACCCTCAACCCCTTTTTTTTTTTCTTGAGATAGGGTCTTGCTAAGTTACTAAGGCAGGCCTCAAACTTGAGATCCTCCTGCCTTAGCCTCCCAAGTTGCTGGAAATTACAGGCATGCACCACCATGCCCAGCTTCTCTTGGCTCACACTGTTTTACCTGTATTCTCACTTAATCTAGATGTCAATCAGCTTTATATAGGTGAAGAAACAGGTTCAGAATGTGTAAGCAATTTTCCCAAGTCACTGGAAGATATGGAAGGCCAGGATTCCCTGTACTATTCCATACTGCCCTTCTGCTATAGGGGTGGAGGTAGGGGTGGGTGGTGACATGACAGTATGGAAGGGAACCAACAGTTATACTCCTACCACCTCCTTCCCCAGCACTGCTGTCTCACCATTGTTCTCCACATAGTTGGTCTCCTGGCAGGTTGTGTCTGGACGGATGCCATAGATCTCCACTCTCACCAGTGGGTCCACAATGGACCTCTCTTTGGTGTTGTTCACTTTGGGGAGTTGCTGACCACTGATAACCTGCAACCAGGGCACTGGAACCTCATGAGTGCCTACCTAGCCCAACCCACCCCCCAATCTCTGACTCCCCAGAGGAGAGGACAAGGGACCTTGCACTAGCTTTTCAGTTTGCAAAACTAATCCTCTGCAAGCAACATATTTTCCTCTAGTCTATCTGCAAATTTATTCACTTATTTATTGTACTGGGGATTATCCAGGAATGCCCTACCACTCAGCTACATTCCCAGCCCTTATTTTTTGAGATAAGTCTTTCTTTCTAACTTGCTGAACCTGGCTTCAAACTTGTAATCCTACCTCAGCCTCTTAAGTCACTGGGGTTACAGACATACACAGCCCTTTCTGCAATTTTAAATGCACAAAGTTGAAATTTAAGAGGTTTGAAAGTAGACATGCTAATGACAGCAGCCTTTTCTGTAGCACTTCCTGTGTACCAGGTGGTTTAAGCACTTGACCTTAATAACTCCTGCAATCTTCACAATCCTGTGAGGTAGGCAGTAGTATCATTCCTATTTTACTGGTGAGTAAACTGAAGTACAGATGGGCTAACAAACTTGCCCAGTATTATACAACTAGGAAGTAGATTTTAAGCTAGGCAGTTGGCTCCAATGTCTTGTTAGCAATCAGGTTATTCTGCATCTCACAAGGAATTTTCATCCAATTATGCTCTTGTCAGGCCTAGCCATATCTTCCCCCACTTCTATCCCAGTTATCCCAGGTTCTTTTCAACAGCTTCTCTTCCCATCATACCTGGACCAAAAGAGTCTGGGCCTTGAAAGGACTGAGGGGTTTCTCCGGGTTGAAGGAACTCTGGATATCACGCAGGAAATCTGGCTTCAGCACATAGCCACAGCCACTATTCTGGCGGAAGAGCCCATCACAGATGTCCATTTCAAGCCCTGCAGTCTGCATATTCATAGCCACTGAGGCCCCAGGAGAAAAGAAGGGAAAGATTTCATCTCAGAAGACTTCCAGGTTCTCTTCCAAGGGAATAAGACAGGTATTGGGTGTAAGAGTGCCTGCTGGGAACATCTTCAAAGATAGGTAGCCTTTTCCTCACCTAGCATTCAAGGTCATTCCCCCTGGCCCTACTTCCATTAGGGAACTTATCTCCCTCCACCCACTCCTGCTGTCCCACCTCCTGTCTCTGCTGCCTCCTCACCCATTTGGCAGCCTACATTCCAGAGTTCCTGGGGGTTGTAGTTGGATGAGTCTGTCCTCAGACCACTGGGATACACACGGCTTAACTGCCAGGCATTGTGCTGCACAAACTCATTGCCTGTAAAAGAAAGAAGGAAGAAGATGGAAGTGGGGTAGCTCCTGCCAATTCCCTGGCCCCAAGGACCCTGCCCACTCACTTCACCCAACATCTAAAGCTCAATGTCCCCTTCCCCCAGTGTCATCAGTCTTTTGCTCACTATTCCTAACTCCCTTCCCTTTGCCTGCTGTGATAAATTTCTTAACTCCATCATCTCTCTTGAGCTCCCTTGTCCTCTTACTTGGGACTTACCACCGTATCCCTGCCCATAAGTCTGAACCTACCCATCCCGCACTTCCCTCCCTGTCCTTCCATTTTGGTCCTAACCAGCCTCCTTGACAAGGCTTTTGGCCTTGGTTTCAGAGAAGGACGATATCTCATAGAAGTGGTAGTTCTCCTTTGAATGGGTGAAGCTGCGGAATGAGACAGACTTCAGGTAGACAACCAGGTCAGAGAGGGCTGGACACAAGACGGACCTGGATTTCTGGAGGAAAAAGTGGAGAGGAATTGAATCCTCATCAGCTTGAGAGGGAAGAAGCTAATGGCCCTCCATCCAATCTACACCTCTGCCCACTGCCTCCCCACTGTATTCTCCCTCCTGCCTCACCTGCTCAAGCAAGAGAAGGGACCCAAGATTGATATTAGAAGCCTGGGCCACAATGTGACAACAGATAGGCGGACAAAACAGCGGGCACATCACAACCTGGGGGTGGGGATGGGAATAAAGGCAGTCTGCATATACTGCTGGGATCAATTTCAGCTGCTGGGCTTGGAGAGTCCATTCTATGTTATATCTAGGATAACAGGTCTTTTTCATTATTTTTAAACGGAGATGTGTTATCTTCCCTACCTCTCTTGTTTGAAAACAAATGAACAATAATCTTGATCAAAATATACATGGATTCGGGCTGGGGTTGTGGCTCAGTGGTAGAGCGCTTGCCTCTCATGTGCAAGGCCCTGGGTTCGATCCTTAGTGCCACATAAAAATAAATAAAATAAAGGTATTATGTACAACTATAACTGAAAAATAATTTAAAATATATATGTACATGAATTCATGCTGGGCATGGTGATGCATGCCTTTAATCCTAGCTACCTGGGAGGCTGAGACAGGAGGATCACAAGTCCAAAGCCAGCCTTAGCCACTTAGTAAGACCCTGCCTGGTGGCGGGGGGAGGACTGGTGACGTAGCTCAGTGGTAGAGCTCCCCTGGATTCAATCTCCAGTACCACAGAAACAAAAACAACAAAATGTACATGAATCCAGAGGTATGTCAAGGTATGCAAATGATAGTGGAATTTGTTTCTGGTCAAATGTGAGGGTCCTAGAGTAATATCACTGGACTTGTCTCCTGAATTCCCATTTCCATCCCTGGACATGATGGCAAGTTAAACATCACAGTCACAGAGAGAACAGGAAAGCTAGAAGTCAGCTGAGCGGGCCAATCAAGCCCACAAGAGAGAAATGCAGACTTCAAATCCAGATCTAAGAGGTCCCACCAATGGCACCCCTTCTTCCTTAGCCTTGCCTTTCCCCATAGGGATATGGACCACACTGGCAAAACTTTCTCAAAGCTTTCACCTTCCCCTCTCCAAACCTTTGGCCATTTCTGGCCGTACCTCAAACTCAAATTCCACCCATTATAAGAAGCTTCCTCTAAGCCCACTGGAGTTAAAGTCATTGTAATCATTCCACTAATCCCTATTTAGCCAACCTAATAGTGCTAAATACACACGCACATACACACAGTGGTTTTCAAACTGGACTTTAAGGATATTGAGAAGTACAAAATAGGTCTAGAGTCATCTAAGGGACCCATGAGAGAGCCAAATGAGGGGTTCAATTAGAATGGTTCTGTTTATTTTGTATACTGAGTTTCCATATAAGATTTCATTAAAAAAAAATTTCATGGCCCAGAAAAGTTGGAAAGCCACTACAATGTATCTTTATTTGGTGATGTATCCCACACAGTGATGCCATCTATGCATTATTATACCTCTCTTCTTGGGAGGAAGGGTCATTTTTCTCCTCGGCCCTCCACCCTGCCAGGCTCTTATCTTCACAAATTAGCCTTCAGCTTGTGAAGCATGCTAACCAAATGCCACCACAGAAAGACCACTCCTGGTCTACCTTCTTTTTGTCCTTATTCAGGCGGCTCAGCTCCAGTGTCACAGGCTTAGAGGGGGACTCCAATGGCAGTTCTGACCCCTGCTGTCTCTCCAGCTGGGGTTCTGTCACTTCTTCCTCATCTTCAAGATCATCCTCAAGTGTTCCTAACTTCTTCCCCTTCACTAAGATCTTCCCTTTAAGCTGCTAGGGAACAAAAATGAAGAAAAATGTCTACCTGTCTGTTCCTGGGAATCCTGCAGTTCCTGCTGCCCTCAAAGGCAGTGAATAGTAGGAAGTTCCCCCATGAAGAAATTGATTGCTTAATACATACCAGAGGGATTCCCTTATTGTTAAACAAATTTGTAACATCTGTAGCCATATGAAAGATAGATAAATAAATGTAGGCTTCTACCTCACATCTGAAACACTAAGAGTTTTTATCCTCTTAGTCAAGATTTACATATATAAAAGGGTATGGTGCATGCCAGTAATCCCATTGGCTAAAGCAGGATGATCATGAGTTGGAATCTAGCCTCAGCAGTTTAGTGAGGCCCTAAGCAACTCAGTGAGACCCTTTCTATAAATTTAAAAAAGGGGGGAAGGGGAGGCTGGGGATGTGGCTCAGTGCTTAAGCACCCCTGGAATCAATCACCAGTACAAAAAAAAAAGTACAAAAAAAAAAGAACATAAAAGTATGAGAGGAAAACAATCCTTTTTTTTTTTTTTTCTTTTTGGTATCAGGGATTGAACCCAGGAGTGCTTAATCATTAAGTCACATCTCCAACCCTATTTTTTTTTAATATTTATTTATTTATTTATTTATTTTAAAAAGAGAGTGAGAGAGAGAGAGAATTTTTTTTTTTAATATTTATTTTTTAGTTCTCGGCGGACACAACATCTTTGTTGGTATGTGGTGCTGGGGATCGAACCTGGGCCGCACGCATGTCAGGCGAGCGCGCTACCGCTTGAGCCACATCCCCAGCCCTTCAACCCCATTTTTTATATTTTATTTAGAGACAGGGTCTCACTGAGTTGCTTAGGGCCTCACTAAGTTGCTAAGGTTGGATTTCAACTTGCAGTCCTCCCTGCCTCAGCCTCCTGAGTTGCTGGGATTACAGGCATGCACCATCAAGCCCACAAGAATCTTTTTATGGGGGAGGGGGATGGTGGTACCAGGGATTGAACTCTGAGGCACTCATCTACTGAACACATTCCTAGCCCTAGATTGTATTTTTTAAAAATATTTATTTCTTTTAGTTGTACACAATACCTTTGTTTTATTTTTTATTTTTATTTATTATTATTTTTTAAAATATTTATTTATTTTTTTTTAGTTTTCGGCAGACACAACATCTTTGTTTTTGTATGTGGTGCTGAGGATCCAAACCCAGGGCCTCTCACCCACTAGGGGGTCCCTCTACCATTGAGCCACAACCCTAGCCTCCTAGTTTGTATTTTATTTAGAGACAGGGTCTTACTGAGGTTGCTTAGAGCCTCACTAAATTGCTGAGGCTAGCTTTGAATTTGTGATCCTCCTGCCTCCGCCTCCCAAACCCCTGGGATTACAGGCATGCACAACTGCACCCTGCCAGAATTTTCTTGAATAGAGAATTTTTTTGAATAATCTCATAATGGAAAAGACTTTAGAAACATGATATAAAAACTCAGAAGATGGGGCTGGAATTGTGGCTCAGAAGTAGAGCGCTCACCTAGCATGCGCTAGGCCCTGGGTTCAATCCTCAGCACCACATTAAAAAAATAAAGATATGTGTCCACCTATAAGTAAAAAATAATTAAAAAAAGAAAACTCAGAGGATATCTAAAATATTGACAGATATGGCTACATAAGTCTTAAAAACTTTTGTAAGGAAAAACATGCTAAAAGACAAAAAAACAAAAATAGACAACAAAGTATTTCTCAAACCATTAATATCTTTAACACATAGGAATCATTACAATATCAATAAAAATTATAAACCCTAATAAAATTGGGTAAACAAATTGTCAGATAATTCAAGAAAAGAAAATATGGACTTTTTAAAAAAACGATCTTTTTTCAGTATTTGCCATTATCAATCATCTCACTGTTGTTTGTAGTTACTCTCCCCTGTTGGTTGGAGTATAATTTGGTATTTTTTCCCAAGGGCAACTTGCAATAATAATCAAAAATGTCAAAATAAAAACTCTTTAACCCAGAGAGTTTTTATTTTGACATTTTTTGCCTCAAGGAATCCATAATAAAGAATCAATGGGAAAAGCTGTATGGACAAGTAGAAAATCACTACCAAATGTGCAACTGGTTGAATAATTCTCCTTTATGACATAAAATGGAATTCTGTAGAACTATTAAAAAAGAAAAAATTTTTACAAGAACAGACATCCATGATATATATTTCACATATAAAAAGGTTATGGAAGCTGGGTTGGTGGCACATGCCTGTAATCCCAGCAGCTAGGGAGGCTAAGTCAGGAGGTTCATGAATTCAAAACGAGCCTCAGCAACTCAGCAAGACCCTGTCTCTAAATAAAATATTAAAAAGGGCTGGAGATGTGGTTTGCTGGTTCAACACCTCTGGGTTAAAACCTGGTATGAAAAAGAAAAGGAAAAGAATATGGAAAACGACCTCATTCTTTTTTTCTTCGTGTCTTTTTTCAAATGTGAACATAGCCAGGTTCTGGGGTGCTTGCCTGTAATCCTAGTGGCTCATATGGCTGAAACAGGAGGATCACAAGTTCAAAGATAGCCTCAGCAATTTAGCAAAGCCCCGTCTTGAAACACAAAAAGGGCTGGGGATATTGCTCAGTGGTTAAGCACCCCTGGGTTCAATCCCTGGTACCCCCAAAATGATAAAAAGTGTGAATATATATCTATTTTTATATAAGCATTTAAAAATGTATTCTATGGGCTGGGGATGTGGCTCAAGCGGTAGCGCGCTCGCCTGGCATGCGTGCGGCCCGGGTTCGATCCTCGGCACCACATACCAACAAAGATGTTGTGTCCGCCGAGAACTAAAAAATAAATATTAAAATAAATAAATAAATAAATAAAAATGTATTCTAGGGGCTGAGGGTATAGCTCTGCAGTAAAGCAGGGGCTTAGTATGTGTAGGACCTTGGTTAAATCCCCAGTACCAAAAAACCCCCAAATTATTGATAGGTGTTATTATGGAAAAAATTGGGATTATGATGGAAAGATTTCCCTTTCTCTGTATTGTCTGTATAGTCTACACCAACTGTCAACTATCCGGAAAAATAAGACATTTCCATTGAAAATTAAATAAAGGGCTGGGGTTTTGGCTCAGCAGTAGAGTGATCGCCTTGCACGGGTGAGACCTGGGTTCGATCCTCAGCATCACATATAAATAAATAAGTGAAATAAAGGTATTGTGTCCAACTATAACTAAAAAATAAATGTTTTTTAAAAAAGAAAATTAAATAAAAAGTAAGTAGTTGATTTAAAACTTAGAGAACTGTAAATGGAATTCTGTGTTCAATTAGATCTTTAAAATTAAAGTTGTCTCTAGGGATATTAAAGAGCAAGATGGTTCATCTGAGATAGAAAGAAGTAAACAAGAGGGACATGAAGGAAGAAGTCAAGGTGAAGGAATGCAGAAGCCACAGTAAAGCCTGTCAGGGGTACCAGGTCCTTACCTCAGGTGAGGGAAGCTGAGTAGGTAGCAGCCCATCCAAGGTGGAACTCAGCAGCTGATCGTCCAGGATCTCAGTCAGATGGCGTACCATGGTCAGCTGCTGCTCCCAGGTGCAGTGGTTCTCCAGGGACAAGATGAGTGGATATTCTGATGCCTGTTGGGGGCGGGGGTGGGGGGACATGCTACATCAGAGTTCTAAAACCCTATACCCTCCTGTTCCAGACATTTGAGTTCCTAACCCACCCTCTATTTACTCAAATTAGTACCCTGATTGTTAAATTCCTCCAACCCCATTATAGAGCTCAGTGAGAATTTGCTGGGTCTGGGGCCCACCCACAGGGACAAGATCTACATCTAAAGGTCATTTTTTGGGATCCCCAATTTCATACCTGTGCCGAGTCTGACTCAGGTCCTCTGAGACCTTTTGAGTTTTTAGGATCAGAAGGGGAGGACCAGGTCTTTATATTCTTAGACTTCATCTCCAGATTCCTAGTGTTTCCCAACCTTACTTGATACTGTTTGTTTCTTTATCTAGTCTCTCCCAGATGGGAGACTGGTTAGTACCACTATGACTACTAGTTATTAGTAACACATCCAACACTTATTCATAATAATCCCTTAATATCTGCCCAGTGCTCTAGAGTTAAAAACCTCTCTTACATATATCATGCCGTTTGCAATAACCTTCCCAGCACCCCTTCAACCTCCCCAGAACCAGAGCCAGTCACTTTTCCCTTAGGCTCTTTTGTTTCAGCCCTCTTCCCAGCCTGGGGCTACTACCTGGAAGGCATATTGTTTAACTGTGGCCACAACATCTTTGAACAGGATTCGGGAAGTCAGGGTGTGTCCGTGATAAACAATGGGTTCCCCGTTAGGTCCATCCCATACATCTACCTCCACACAGCGGCACCCACGTTTCAGGGCCCTGCAAGAACCCCAACCCCAGAAGCAGAAGAGGTCAAGTTCTGACCCTCTCCCCAGTGTGGAGAGATCAATGCTCATCAGCACTTACCCATCCACACCTCTTCAAACTATGTACACTCTGTGTGTGTGTATGTGTGTGTGTGTGTGTGTGTGTGTGATTATTTATTTTAGTTGTAGATGGACAGCTTTATTTTATTTATTTTTATATGGTGCTGAGGATCGAACCCAGTGCCTCACACAGGCTAAGCAAGCATTCTACTACTGAGCTACAACCCCAGCCTCTCAAGCTATGTATTCTTGGATGCTTCTCTGTCCGCTTGAGGATGGCTGCAGCTCATACACCCACCCCACACCACTCACAATTCTTTTTAGCCACCTATCACACATTACTTCATGATACTCCTGGTATTCTGGTTGTATATCCCTATACAACACTTGGGTTAGTTAAACTCTCTGCATATTTACACTTAATTTCTTCCTCTCTGTCTCTCTCTGGTGATAGGGATTGAACACAGGGCCTCACACATGCTAAGAATGTGTTCTACCACTTGGAAGTTTCACTTAATTTTGAGTAAAAGTTCCACTCATTTTCATATCCCTTGAAGCTACTAGTTGAGTTGCTAGCACTACAAAAACGTCTTGACTATTCAATCTAATCCATGATAAATCACAATAAAGGCAGCTACCACCTATTAGCTATTGACACATGGATTGTCTCATTTAATCTCCACTACAACCTGAAAAGAACAGATACTGTGTTATCTCCCTATTTCACAGATAGGGATCCCAAGATATAGATAGTACCAAGTGAGGAAGCTAGGCTTTGACATCCACCCGTCTGACTCCAGAACTGACCATTTTTTTTTTTTTTTTTTTGGAACTAGGGATTGAATCCAAGGGCGCTTTACCACTGAACCACAGCCACAGCCCTTTTTATTTTTTATTTTGAGATAGGGTCTAAGTTGCTTAGGGTCTTGCTAAGTTGCTAAGACTAGCCTTGAACTTGCAAACTTTCTATCTCAGCCTCCCGAGTCACTGGAATTACAAGTGTGCACCACGTGCCTGGCTGCACCCATGATTTTAACTCCTATGCTGTACTACTTCCTCTTTAACATTTTGCTTATTTGTTAGTGTCTCTGAGTTCCAAGAGTTTCATAGCTCAGGAAAGAGAGAAATCTCATTTACCCATAGGGTTTCTTTACCATTCTCCCATCAGTCTTCAATATCTTCTTCAAATGTCTCAGGTATCCAGGGTTCCTCAGTCCCGGTTCCCCCCAATATCAAAGTGTTGAAAGCACTACAAAAATATCTCTTCAATCCCTGTTATTCACTCACCACCCCCCAATTTCCCACAGATGGTCCCTCTAATGAGCTGGACCCTTTCTCTACTACCACTGCACCGTATATATCCCTCGACGCTGCTCTGGCCACAAAGTTGGTCCCCAACGAGATAAGTATTGTGAGAGGAGTTAATGAAGTAGTGGGTCAGAGGTTGAGTCATATCCTGGTAGATGGGAAGGCAGGCCGGGTTGAAGATGTCTCCATCCTTTGAGCAGAGGTAGCTGAGGAAGCCATCCAAGCTCAGCACATGCCGCAGTTTGCCTACAGTATGGAATGGGGAATGCCAGAGTGAGCTGCTTGCAGGAGAGCCCTTCAGCATACCTACAGACCATCCTCCATCCCACTCCCTATGGGGTCTTGTCTTTCAGATGGTTCCTGTTCCCAGCTTCCAGATCCCCAACTTGCCCCACCCAGTGTGTGTCATTTCAATCACCCCCTATCCTCAGAGATTATTAAAGAGAGCCATTACAATTATTCTAGTCTAGCTGGGCATGGTGGTACAATATGAGTCCCAGAGACTCAGCAGGCTGAAACAAGAGGATCGTAAGTTCAATGCCAGCCTCAGCAATTTAGCAAGGTCCTAAGCAACTTAGTGAGAACCTGTCTTAAAATAAAAAGCAAAAAGGACTGGGGATGAAGCTGGAGTTGTAGCTCAGGAGTAGAATACTTGCCTAGCACATGTGAGTCACTGAGTTTGATCCTCAGCACCACACAAAAATAAATAAACAAAAGTTTTTAAAAAAAGAGGTTTTCAGTCTGGCTGGTGAGAATATTTCTTTTATAAAAAAGAACTGGTGATGTAGCTCAGTGGCTAAGTGCCCCTGGGGGTTCAATCCCCAGGGCCAAGAAGAAGAAAAAGATCATTTTAAGTCCAGTGCTATCTAATAAAACTTTCACAGTAATAAAAGTGTTCTATTCTATGGTGTTGAATATTGTAGCCTTTATATACATGTGGCTGTGAGCACTTGAAAATGTGACTTGTATGACTGAGGCACTAAATTTTTAATTTTATTTGATATTAGCTAATTTAAATGTATAGTCACAAGAAACTCACAGTTGCCATAATGGACAGCACAGTGTCCAGTCCAAAGATTTAATTTTATAGATGGTTTTTAAAATTTATGATTTTAAATATAAAATTAAAGATTTAATTTTATAATCAAAGCCTAGTGAGAATCACAAAGAAGGTTGTTAGTGACATGGCCAAGGTACCTGTGTTTTCTTCCTTGGGTTGTGTAAAGCTATGTTACTTATGATCTGAGGGGTTCTTTCTACTGTCAACACTCCCAAGTGGTATTTTGGGGAGCATTTGTCAACATTGCCTTAAATTACCCTCTTGTTGAGGAAAGGGCCCTGTTTCTCCTTCTGTAACTCTCACCCGTCTCAGCATGGGCATCATACAATAGCAACTTGTTAACTGTTGTGATTGAGCATTTGCTCTATGCCAAGGATATTACATGCAGTATCTCACTTAATGTTCTCACAACACAATATGATCTGCTATGAGAAGTTAGAAAACTAGTCGAAGTCACATATTTGGTAAGTGGAGGGACTGGAATTTATATCCACGCAGCCAGGAGTCAGAGTTTTGTCCTGTACTACTGGGCTATGCAGTGTTGCTGAGGATAATGCTGCTGCAGAGAGGTGCCCTTGAAAGTTAAACAACCTGACTGACATTCTCAGCTTCTTTGCTCCAGGTTTGACAAGGCCTGTAGGCAGTAGAGAATGGTAGGATGTTGGGCAGGAAGTTTCATTTTTGCCATTGATAATCCAATTGCTCAGGTAAGTCCATGGTTGCTAGATACTTTGCATGTGCATCATTTTATTTGATCGCTTATTTTATAAATGAGGAAATTGAGTCTCAGATAGGTTAAGTGACTTGCTCAAGGTTACTCAGTCAATTAGAAGCAGAGTAGGGACTTGACAATTGACTAATAATACACTCAGCAACCAGCATATAGTATCTAATTGTCAAGTGAAAGGGGAGGGACTACCGGGAGTGGTAGGAAATAGAGTAAATATTGTCTTAGTCTATTTTATACTGCTATTGCAGAATACCACATACTGGGTAATTAATTTATAAAGCACACTGGGTAATTAATTTATAAATTAATAAAGATAATTAATTTATAAAGATTTCTTACAATTCTAGTAGAAATGAGAAGTCCAAGGTTGAGGGGCCTGCATCTGGTGAGGGTCTTCTTGCTGTCATCCCATGGCAGAAGGTGGAAAGACAAGAGAACACATGGGAGAGCAAGAGAGGGGAAAGGGGCTTATCTCATGAATTAGTAATTTTTTTTTTGGGGGGGGTACTAGGGATTGAACCAGGAGCACTTAACCACTGAGCAAATCCCCAGCCCTTTTTATTTTTAATTTTGAAACAGGTTCTCACTAAGTTAATAATAATAATCTTGCTAAGTTGCTGAGGCTGGCCTTGAACTTGCTATCCTCCTGTCTCAGTCTCCCAAATTGCTGGGATTATAGGATTATACACACCCAGCATGAATTAGTAATATTTTTTTGTGTGTGTGTGTGGTATTAGGGATTGAACGCAGGGGTACTCTATCTGAGTTACATTCCCAGCCTTTTTAATTTTTTTTATTTTTTTGAGACAGGTTCTGGCTAAGTTGCCAAGGCTTGCTGTCCTCCTGCCTCAGTCTCTTAAGTAACTGGGATTACAAGGTGTAGTGCCACCATATCTGGCTATGATTTGATCAATTTTTTTTTAGTTGTTGATAGATCTTTATTTTTATTTATTTATATATGGTGCTGAGAATCGAACCTAGTGCCTCACACATGCCAGGCAAGTGCATTACCGCTGAGCCATAGCCCCAGCCCAATATGACCAATTTTTAAGTCCCACCTCTCAACACTGTTGTGTTGGAGTTTAAGTTCCCATCCCGGGTACTTTGGGGGACACATTCAAACCCTAAGTAATTTAAGTATACTAGATCCTGCACTGAGAACAGAATATCCTATTTCTTAATCCTCTCACATCCTTCTTCAATTTTATTTTCTGAAATTATTGCTTTACAACTCTTGTTCTTCTCTAAACTACCATACAAATCTGGGATCACTGATATTCTAACACTGTTTGACTCTAAGTTCCATGAGGACAGTGTTCTTGTCTAATCTAAGTGCCAATTATCTTTGATACTCAGTGTAGGTCCTGTTACATTACAGGTACTTGATAAGTATTATCTGAAGTGGTGAATATATGATTAAACAAGGTGGAGTTGAGATTCAGGAAACCTGGATCACTTTGGCTTTCAATCAACTTATCTCTTCTTTATTTTCTAGAGAGGCACTAATTAAGAAATGACCTGAGTTGAATTCCAATTCTTTTCTCATTACCTGTTGACTTGAAGTAAATCGTTTAACCTCTCTCTCTCTCTATATATATATATATTTTTTTTTTAAATGTATTTTTATGTGGTGCTGAGAATCAAACCCAGTGCCTCACAAGGGCTAGATGGTGCTTTTCCATTAAGCTACAACCCCAGCCCAGTCATTTAATCTTTCTAAACCTCAACTTTCCTTTTTATAAAACTGATTTAATAATAGAACACATTCTAACAGAGGATTAAGGATTAGAAGAGAAAAGGTATGTAGCGATATTAGCAAATTATGGAATACTTACCAAAGACCCAATAAAGAGTATAGCTATTGAATTATAAGTTGTAGTGAGAACTAAATTAAGTGAATGAGAAAGTGCCTTGTAAATAATTTACTGTTAATGTAAATTTCTCACTCTGAAAGGAATGGAGGGATAAAAACAAGTCTACAGACAAAGTCAAAGAAAGTTCAAGGATTAAGAAGGTATATTTTAGCTGCACTTGTTAAATGCTAAATTATTGGCTTCTTCATCATGCCCCTGCCCAGAGCTGTCTAGATTTTTCATAGAGGGACTCAGAGATTCAAGAACACTTGGAGAATTTGAAGAAATCCAAGGAAAGGACAAAAAGCCAGGATTTAATGGGACAGCAGATAGGAACCATGAAGGGGAACTAGAGGAAAAAGTATAATTTGCATAAAGAAAAGGCCAAAACAAGAGCACTAGGAGTTTTCTGTTGCCACTAAGGACAAAGTTGATATCAGGAAGAATTTTCTGAATGTAAAGAATATGAAACGTGAGCATAGGGGAATTTAATCTTCCTCCTGAGAGAAGACACCTGTCTTATCCAGGCAGGGAATGGCTGTTCACCTCTAGAAGGAACAGTTAAATGAGATGATTGGGCAGAGGGCCAGAGTAGGGATGGACTCAGTCTCCCATAAGTTAGTCAAAAGACTGTCTCTGGATCATTATAATCATGGCCTGTCCCCCTCACACCATGGCTGGTACCTCTGTACACCTAGTTTCCCTTACCACTTTCTGAAGGCTCATAGCGGTCAATGAGTTCCAGAGCAAGGTCAGAGGCTCGCTCTCTTTCTTTCTGCTCCTCTCGAAGGAAATCCACAAATTCCAGCAGGGTCAGTTTCTGCCCATCATCAGAAAATTGTTCAAACATTTCATGCACCTCAGTGCGTTTTGTCAATGCCTGATAGAAATATACAAATTCTTCTCCTTCTAGAGTCCCAGAATTGGACATGTCTGCTTCCTGCAACAGGTTTAGGAGAGAGTGGACAGACATTTCAGTGGGAAAATTTATGACCTTCACTTGTTCTTAAGGACATTTCATTGACATACATATTCAAAGATGCTTCCATAAAACTCCACAGAACCCCTGACACCTTGTGTTCATAGAAGTCACTTCAGTAAGAAAAAAGCAAACTTGCAGCTATATCATTTGCTAGTAGAGAAAATTTCCACCCAAAAGAGTTCTTCCTCCCAAAGCTCCCTAGGTCAGGATATACTTCCTTCAATTACTCATATTCCAGTTGGGGTTTGTTCTAGGCACCTGTGAAATTCTGGCCACAAACAGAGAGGTCCCTTGAGGTCCAACATAATCACATATTGTTATTTACCATTCATGGGATTATGACTCATCTTTCCAACAAGACTAAATGGCAAGAATCATTCCCTACACTTTCCACTGAGCCTGTCATGATGCTAGGGCACACAGTAGGGATTCAACAAATGAATGTTGCTGACTGGCGTCAGAAGCCTGCATGTAGATGGTTGGCTCCTGAAAATTCTTCCTCTGCAGACTCACCTGAAAAAGACCAAAGGCATATTCTTGGTCCATTTCCACATTCATCAGACGCAATAACCGCCGAACTTCTTCGAAAGTCATCCGACCATCTTGGTTTTTGTCTCCACGCTGGAACAAATCACTCAACCATCCAGGTCTGAGTCAAGGCAAAAGCACTGTATGTATTTGTTTGTGTGTTCAGAAGTATGTGCATCTTTATCCATTGACATCCCTCCCCTGTCTTTGTTGCCAGTCCCATGCCAATCCATTCCCCACACAGCTTTAGAATAATCTCTCTAGACCAACAATCTATCTTGTCACTGAATGGCTCAGGTACCTGCAGGGACCTCTCTGCTGCCTGAAGAAAGAAACTCAAATTCCTTAACATAGAAATTAAGATTCCCTTCACCCCTTGGATCTTACACAACATAGCCTGTTCAATATATCTCTGTCTTCCTTGCACTTTATAGCTAGACTCAGCAACTCCCTGCTCTCGACTTTCTCTCTTGCTCCTCAATTTCCTATCTCCAGACCTTTACTCATTCTGTTCGCCCAGGCAGAAGTGCCTTTCCCTCCTCCACTCATCATGTTCCAATTCTTCCATTTTTCAGACCCAGCTCACAAACTATTTATTCCCTGAAGCTTTATCAATACACTCTTAAGTAGAATGAAATAATCTTCCTTTAAATACATACAAATCATCTAAGAACAACAATTCTTTGGAACTTAGATTATTTATATCCTCTCTCCACTAACTGAAGCAATATCTGTATCTCATTAATATTTGGAACCCTAAAGCTTTGTATAGTTCCTGAAACATTCTGTTTAATAAGTGATTAATGAATGAATAAGTGAGCTGGTGTACAATCCAGCAATCTTGAAGTTGTCTATATCATTGAGCCCTCGAAGAAATGGCTTCCTGTCCAACACTATGGTATCCCTATGGTAGTATATGCTTTTGGATTTTCTGTTCAGCTTTTAGGAGCAATGCCTTATTTGCACCTCTGTCTCTCACTGTCCCTTCCTCCAAACCCTACAAGTCCTCATTCATGCCAAACTCTGTGCCATCCCTAGCATTCATTTTTCCTTCAGAATCCTCAGTTACACTTAACCTAAGATGTCTCAGCAGGCTGGGGATGTGGCTCAAGCAGTAGCGCGCTCGCCTGGCATGCGTGCGGCCCGGGTTCAATCCTCAGCACCACATACCAACAAAGATGTTGTGT